TCTATAACGGGAACTGTAAAATACCTCCTTGCTCGATCGCTGGTTAAACCGGTGTGTGTTTTTTATCACCAAAACGTGGCTGCGCTTGTTTGTATTTCTCCGGGAGAAGGCAATTGCCGCTAAATCTAACAGCTTTAATTCCCTGTAATAGGCTTTATTGACCTCATATCCTACAGGGAAAAGACAAACTTAATTGCCTTTAAATACCTTCATTTAGTTTGTTGTTCTTTCTCTTTTAAGAAAGGAGCCAGGACTCTCTGACCTGGCCAGCTCTGCCGCACGTGATCACATGGACCAGACTTTCAAAAGGAAAATGAGAATCAAAGAATCAACAGCCAATATCAGAAAATGTTTTTTCCCCCCCGCCCGCCAAGTTTTTGGACTCTACAGACACAATCTGCCGCAGCCCTGCGGCCCCAGTGCTGCCCCGCTCAGGGGACTGGGGGATGCTCAGGAGCTCTGCTCTGCCCTGGAAAACCAGCGTCCTCCCCCCGTATTTCAAGTGTCCCGGCAGATTCCGAGGAGCCCTGAATCGGCTGAGGCGGAGGGCGAGCTGAAAACAAGGTGTCAGACAGGGAACCCTCAAGTTTCATCTTTTTAACTGGGTTTTGGTTCCCTTTTGGGGCAGGGAGCTGAGCGGTAACGGGGCCTCATTTAATTACGGCGGCGGGCTGAGATAATAACTTCATTTTAGATTGCAAGAGCGGATAGAGGACTGAGTCAGTTATGGTGTTTGTAGGCTGAAATGTTTGACGTCCTGCTTTAAAAAATATAATTAGTTTGCTGCTCTAATCAGCAGCTAGAGCTGGCTCTTTAGGGCATGCTTTATCCTCACCAAAACATTAACTGCGTTGGATTTTTCTATTAAAAAAGCAGCCTAATGATAAAGCCTGTATTTTACAGATAAAAAAAAAAAAAAGCTCCATGTTGAGGGTTTCTATTGCTTCCTCTTCCTGATTTCTGGTCCAGGGGCTGCAGTGTGTGCCATCCTCCCCCCCCGTTGTGGGAAGGGAAATAACAGCGGGGTTTTTTGCAGGATTTGCAGCACTAAACGCCACTTTCCTTGGGCAGGAGGCTGGTGCCAGTGGCTCCGGGCCGGGCAGATGTGCTTGCTCACCGCCCCGTCTCCCGCTGCAGGTTCCCTGCGCCCCGAGCCAGCCCGCGGCCGGCAGCGAGAGCAGGAGGTTCGCCAACAAGCACAGCAAGAAGGCGCTGAAGGCCAGCCTGACGCTGGGCATCCTCCTGGGCATGTTCTTCGTGGCTTGGCTCCCCTTCTTCATCACCAACGTGACGCAGGTAAGGACGTGTGTTTTGGTTTTTTTATTTTATGTCGGGTTTTCAAAAGCTTTTCACTTTGAATCCAGCTGGGTTCAGCCTTAGGCACCTGCAGGTCTCGCTGGAAAGCCTCTGGGACCAAAGGTGCCATTTCCCCAGGGAGCAACAGCAAGGAAAAACCCTTCAAAAGGGTTTTAAAGGGTCCCTTCGAAAGGGAAATATTCGCATGTCTGGGAAACCGCTCTGGATCGGGGCCGAGGTGGGAGACGCTGCTAATCCTTGCGGTGTCCCCCCCGCCAGGCAGTCTGCAGCTGCGTCCCGGCCGCCTTCTTCGACGTGCTCACCTGGCTCGGGTACTGCAACAGCACCATGAACCCCATCATCTACCCGCTCTTCATGAGGGACTTCAAGAGGGCCATGGGCAAATACCTGCCCTGCTGCCGGCGCTCGGGGGAGCCCCGTCCCAGCGCCATCTCCCTCTCCATGAGGAACTCCAACAGCGGACCCCGCGCCGCCACGTCCCTCAAGAACGTCCTCACCTTGCAGGCTGAGACTGACTCGGTTGACTCCGGGGTGCTGGGGAACGACCACAGCCTGCTGCCGGCCGGCGCC